TATAAATATGTATATATCTACACATTTAATTATCAATGTCAAAACAAATAAATAATTACTTTAGAATATAATGAAATTGTTTTACACTATTCGTGTTTACAAAATGTTTTTGTCTATAATCAGAATTTAATATATCGTCCTTATAAATGCTAAAGTATTACAGCATAATGAAACTTTTTAAAATCAGAGTTGGTATAAAACCACGCTTTTCGTTATAATAGAAAAACACTCGGAATTACAGTCTACATTTAACTAAATATCGGTCTTTTAGTTCAGATCATATTTTTTTAATTAACTACTGCTTCTTTGTGTTCTTATAAGATAATTTTTAACAAAGTGATAGGTATGGGTTAGATCACTGTATTGATCACACACCTTTTTTACTGGTAATTGCAAAAACAATATTCACAGAGTTTTACGTTTAAAAAGCTAATTTTCTGGCGGCATGGTACTTTCGTACATCATTACGCGTTTTTCTACATCTACTTAACAGATCAGTTCGGGTGGGTTGGGGGGGGGGGGGGGTTCAACTTCATTCACCACTGTCTGGTCACTTTAGGTCAATTATCCAACCTAGTGACATACCTAGGTGTGACATTAATGTCGCTCAACACAATTGTAGTGGTTAGGTGTGTGTGTATGGGGATGGGGGAGATAACCAACTCAGAGTGAACATAGCGTCAGTTTTTAGATGACTGTTCTAAACATACATATATATTACACAAATATATATATTACACAAATATATATTACAGAAATAGATTTAAATAAGTAGCAGTGGTATTATGACAATATTTTTTTTACAGAGGAATCCATGGGGGATGGGGGTTGTAACTGTTTTATATAATTTGTAATCGTAATCACTGTCGCCCAAACTGTAAGAATACTACTACTTCATCGTGATGACGTTGTTGGCCTTGTCAAAATTTCCCCACCACTTCGCAGTTTGCTCATAAGTAAATTTAAATAGAGGTGCCACATCAGTTGTATTTGTTTCTGTATTGTAATTTTTTTTTAATTAATCACACGATTCAAACTGTATATATAAACTAATTATGTGTGAAGTTATATGTATAACATTTTCTAATTCAATTATTCGTAAGCAAATACATTATACAGTTGCCTTAAAGTTAACACCCCTCTTGCCAAGTGGTACTACCCGTAGAGGTATTTTAAACATTGCAATGCATCGTAATGGTTATTTTTAGAATGGCAAACTGATGCAGCTGTTAATACGTGTTGTAAACGTAGACACTCCTAGACTAGTACAATAATGCTTAATTGCTGCATGAAAAGAAATCTTGTGATTTACATAGATGTGCCAACCAAAAATATTTTTTTAACAAATATCATTGTTTAAAACTTTGAGTTTAAAAAGTTTCAAAAAGGCGCCACTTTGCTGAAAATGGCCAGAGGGGGAGCGGCCGCTCCCCCTGCTCCCCACCTGCGTACGCTACTGCTTGTGGCTGTTGATACATTCCATATTAGCTCGCCCACCCGTGAATGTTATTATAAGCTTTTATTTAGTTCACGATGGCAGTTTGTTGTTGTTTGTGTTTTGCTTTCTTTGTTTGTGGGTTTATGACAAATCCTGGAATCAAATTGCGACCCACTTGTAATGCATTGGTTCAGTTTCAAATCTCCAGATAGATCCGTAACCGATAACAATGCAAGAATATCTATTTTTAAATCTAATTATATGTTACATTAGTTATTTAAAATAATTAAATTAGAGTTATTAGAAGAAAAGTTCCCTTTTCAAACCTGACAATCCATGGTGCAAGTCAAGTAGAGTTTCAATAGTTTCATGTTTCTGTGACCTTAGCTTATGAAGGGATAGTGTGGTCAGCATTATGCCTAAGTAGGGTCATTAATAAATTAAATATCAAGATGGGAGATAACAAGATGGGAGATAAGAAGATGGGAGATAACTAGATGGGAGATAACACGATGGGAGATAACAAGAGGGGAGATAACAAGATGGGAGATAAGGGAGATAACAAGATGGGAGATAACAAGATGGGAGATAACAAGATGGGAGATAACAAGATGGAAGATAATAAGATGGGAGATAAGGGAGATAACAAGATGGGAGATAACAAGATGGGAGATAAGGGAGATAACAAGATGGGAGATAACAAGATGGGAGATAAGGGAGATAACAAGAAGGGAGATAACAAGATGGGAGATAACAAGAAGTTACAAGATGACGCCATTGAACTGTTGGTCACGGTTGGTTGTTTTTTTTTCCTGAGAACCGATCGTACACTAAAAAGAGGCAAAATATTTTCTTATAGAGAGCGCCAGCTACTGATCGGTTTAAAAGCAATTTTTAATCGCATGTATTGTTGTTTTTTATTAAACAAAAAAAAAAAGAATAAACGTTAATACATTATCCTTCTCATTGTTTTTAAGGAGGTCATCCATCAATGACGCCGTTTTTCTTATATCTGTTTTATTTTCTACTTTTTACTAATTGTAAATTTTAAAAATTAGAATAGTAAGTCGATACTTAATTGCATACAAACAATTAACAACTAAACATACGTTTTAAACCGGACCAGCAGCTAACATTTCCTAAAAGACAATTATCTACTACTAATTAACGTTTAACTCTCAAATTTAAAACATAAGTGATGATCGAGTGATCGCTAGAACAATCCTGTTATCTCCCATTTCGATACTACAAACTGCCATCTTTATAATAATTTGTAATAACTAATTTAATACCTGAATGAGATCGCTGCATTCGAAGTGGGTCAAAATAAGTAACACGATTCGCCAAAAACACACGTAAGAACAGACATGCAGTGTGAACTAAATAAATTATTAAGCGACTGAGCGTGGATTTAACAATACTATTCTTTCATATGCCGAGGTTCAGGTGAACTCTACTTCATCATGTTGAACGGCTGAATAACGATTTATTAAACGACAAATTTATCGAACATACCTGTGTATTCGGCTCTCATTCGGGTCTTGACACATGTACAAAGACTTGTATTGTAGTGTATCAAGACGTCAAGAGATAGACAATGACAAACTTCATGATGTCTAATGGACAATGACTAACTTTATGATCTAGTTTGGTTCAAAGTGCGCCACTCACTTCTATGTGAGACATGCACTTGAGGTGTAGTATATTCTAAGTTAGCCTAGTATTGTGTGTAAGTGTATTGTGTGTATATGTTATTCGTATATATATATGTGATAGGTGTGTATATGTTGTATGTATGAGTTCCGTGTATCTATACATAGCTCATATGTATGTTCTATATGCGTGCGCTTATCAGTTAACTCCAAAACCGCAATAAAATAGTCAGCTAAAATTGATTTAAAAAATACAAAAAACTTTGAAATTAAAACGAACAACAACAACCATATGTTTTAGCGTTTTATTCATGATCACAAAACATATCTAATCATTTGTTCAGTGAGAAAAACAATGGAATGGGAAACTGGAAGAAACAAAAAGAAGAAACCAGTTCTTCTAAATAGCCCAACCGTGTGCGGTGTGTACATTTCTTTTCAGAGGTACCCGATTTAGCTGAGTTAACCAAGGGGGCTCTCATAAAAATAATGTCATCGATGAATTATGAAATTCCCAACCCCTTCCTCCCCCCCCCCCCCCCAATCCGATCAGCTTTACTCATCACACACATGTAGTATTACGTCACAGCCGACTCTAACTAAACTCTGACTCAATACAAACTCGCTAAATCACACTTCGAGATAATGTAGATATAATTTAACGTTTTAGTATGGCTTTGTAACGTGTAGTTGATAGTTGCGCTGTCGATAGTTTTCACCGCTTGAGATGTGTACCATACAATCTCTCTCAAAACATGACACCATCGCTAGTTTTACAGTCACAACAACACCATACAAAATCACCTCGTCATATGACACCATTTATTTAAAACCTTTGAGTTCTGTATAATTACTCTCTACATTTAGTGATAGTAATTAGCCTTGAAGTTTTGACATCAAGGCCGCACACAAGGTCAAGATGTTGTTGTGACCACAGACCAGTCGGTCAAGCCCGTAGGCGACCAGTATTCCCCCCTTCTCCCCCCCCCCCCTTCCCCCACTGTTGATGTTGATTACCTGTGATTTGGCAAGCTGGATGTGTCAACGTTTGTCTAAAGGCTGGGAGAATGTCGGACTGACGCACGACGCCGTGGACGCAATGTTTGAGAGACTTGAGTCGATTGGTTACAGACAGCGTGTTGAGAAACATCTGGTTGTTACTATTTAGGTTTGTCTTTGGTAGCTTGTACACACTGGTTGTTGTGTACACAACTTGTGGGCTGTCTTAGCCAAACACACAAACATTGGGCATCTCCCCCCCCTCCCATCAATTTTAATCTACCTGCAACCCACCAATAATCCAGCCATATGTAGGGTCGTAAATTAATGACGTCACACTCGTCAGGAGTAGTCAAACTTATGTGATTTTTATATTAAAAAAAAAATCTTTTAACTTTCATTTAATATACTCATACTTTTTGTTTATGTAAAATGTAATCAAATTAATTGACGTACCTTGACTTAGCACATCTGAATAAAATTTGCAAAAAGAAATAACTGTTTCATGGTGGGAAAACTGCGCTTTTTGGGGAGGAGGGAAATGGGGGTGGGTGGCAGGACGAAGTGCAGCGTCATTTTAGAGGTGTAAGATTTTTATTAATAGGGTGGGTAGACGTAATCAAAATTTGGAAAAAAGGGGCGTGTTTATAGACGAGACCAGCAGATCTAATTAACTCCTCAATATTTTATACAGCATGAATGTCTTGAAGCTTTACAGAGTAACTAATCAAGGAATATTTACAATCACACATCGAGAAGCTAATTCATCCCATAACTATCACGTTTTAAATTAACTTCCAACTATTAGCAATCACGTTTTTTATATGAGCTTTCAATAGCTTCTACTCACTGACAATCATGCATTTACAATACTTTTATCAACTAACAATCAAGTTTACACACATACTCTCATCCGCTCTAACCCTACATGGTTCTATCACAGACATACTGGACCTGTATGCAGAAGGTTGAAACAATTCTCATTGACAAAGGCTGGTATTTACAGTAGAAGTCTGATATGGCATTCTAATTTAAAAGTTTTTTTTTAAAACAAATATATCCCTTGTCAATGTAAGCAAATACTGAACATTTCACACAATTTGTGCAATGAGACAAATAGGCATACATGAAAATATCAGTGGAATCGTCCAGTTCGGCAGAAATATAGAAGCACCTATACATCGTAAGTGTTCATCGTAGAATCAATGATAAATCATAAATCGGAATTCGTTTTAGAATTCTGGTTAATGCCAAGCGTTGTGTTATAAAATATGGCACTTTTTATGGAACACTGTCAGAAAACCTGGCGATGTTCTGGTTTTTATCAGAGAAATCTGGCAATGTTTTTTCTTATTTGTCAGAGAAATCTGGTAATGTTTTTCTTATTTGTCAGAAAAATCTGGCAATGTTTTTATTCGTCAGAAAACCTGGCAATGTTCTAGTTTTTTGTCAGAGAAATTTGGCAATGTTTTTGTTATTTGTCAGAAAACCTGGCACAGTCCTAGTGCGACTCACGATGTGAACTTTAAGACGTGAGAATGGTCCACACCGTGACGACATACGTGAGCAGACATGCCAGCAGACGATACGAGATGCCAGACCTGGCATGCAAGTCCGGGCTGGAGTTCTTTGTGCCGTTCTTGAAGTGGACCACCCCGATGTGCCACTCAATGTCCGTCTCCTCCTGGAAGTACCACGGGTGCTTGACCGCAGGCTTGCCCAGTACGACGTCATCGTGCCCTATAGCGATGTCCGCGCAGCCGTAGAACTGCTCCTGGTCCCCGCATCCGATACAGCTGACGCCGTTCTTGTCCGTTCCCCAGCTGTTTCCGGCGTTGTACTTCCACTGCAGCATGCACGCCTTGCACCGGAGGTTCTTCGGTGGGAGGAGGTACAGCTCGTAGGTTTGCTGAGAGTAGTACTCACCCTCCGGCACCTGGTACCGCACCTTGCCAGTGGTGACCACGGTCATCGGGTGCTTCCTCAGGCAGGTTTCTGTGATCTTCTGGAACGGGTTGTCGGTGGGGCAGATGTGGAACTCGAAGTAGCCCTTGTGGTTGGCGGTCAGCTCGATCTTAACCTTGATGGGCTCGCCCACCTCGTACTTTCTCACGATGATCCCGTTGGCGTAGATGCCCCCCGCCTCGTGCTCCCGGCGGCCGTTCCAGGGGTCGCCACAGACCCCACACTTGCCGTTGTTCTGGCCGTACTGGATCTGGCGGGAGATAAGCATGGATGAATGTCGTGTTGTTGTTGTCATGTTGTTGATGTCCAGTTGTTGATGTCGTGTTGATGTCGTGTTGTTGATGTCCTGTTGTTGATGTCGTGTTGTTGATGTCGTGTTGTGCACATTGTGATGTTACTGTATGTCGTCATGTTAATAAGTTATTAGTAATTGCTGTGAATTACATGATCTAGTCTTGCTTCTGATATTATTCCATGTCGTATAGTTGAAATAAAATACTGCAGTAATTCAGTTTGATTGTGTAAACTAAAGCAGATAGTTACGAACTTGTAAGCATAGCATTTTTTAAATTGATTAGAGATATAAAGCGAACCTTTATAAATTCCGTGTAACAATTTATATCTGTTCGTCATCAACGGACAAAACAGGAGTACAAGAAAAACACCGACACTATATAACTCGACTAGAACCAACTAATATCCAACCATAAACAAACAACAGCTCACACTCAATAGCAAACAAACAGCAAAACACATACAACAACACACGTACAACAACACACATACAACAACACACGTACAACAACAAAGTACAACATCACACATACAACAACAATCGTACAAAAACACACATACAACAACACACAGACAACAGCACCAGTGTGTGTACTTACCCCCACACCCCCACAGAACAGCTGATTGTCGTCATAATTTGGGGGCGTGTCATACCCCAGACGCCACATCGAGGCTCGGGACGGGGGCTCAATCAGCCGACCGTGACCGCTGACGTCATGAAAGATGACCAGCACAATTATCAGAACTCTGGCCAAAGTTGAGGTTTGCAAGTGACCACTCATATTTAGCTCTGAAAAAAATAAAGTAATTATAGATGTTGATCTTGTAACTTTTACACATTTATACAACTCGATCTTGTAATTTTCACACACATTGTAAATACAGGATGATGTGAACACCACCCGAGACATTAGATGTGACTTTAGTATAACATGACAACAAAGTGCAAGATTTAGCTCCCGTTTCAAATTGCTCCAAAGGCTTCTTAAACTAAGATCACTAACAGATATACCACGCACTTCATAACCCGCAATCTCCACCCCCCTCCCCTCGTCTTAGTTTTAGGAGGAAAACATCAAGATTGTATTTATTGTTTCCAATCTGAGCAGTTCGCCCTCCCCTGGGGTGGGGGGGGGGTAGTCGATTAGTGCTGGGGTTGTACGAAAATGTAAACAAATGTATAATATAAAAATACACACACATATACACACATAAAACACACATAAAACACACACACACACATATATATATATATATATATATATATATATATATATATATATATATATATATATATATATATATATATATATATATATATACACACACTTATTTACACACATACACACACACCCACACACACACATATATATATATACATATATATATATATATATATATATATATATATATATATATATATATATATATATATATATATATATATATATATATATATATATATATATATATATATATATATATATATATATATATATATATATATATATATATATATATATATATATATATATATATATATATTTAAGTATGTATATAATTGTAGTACACTATAATCTATATAATGCATGCATTACATCTTTGTTTAATAAATACGATAGAAGAGTACAATGTAAAAACAAATACAAAAATCTTTATTATAATAAGCTTTTAAATGCAGTGGAAAATAAGAAAATGAAACAAATTTGTTTTCTTTAGAAATACAGATATATAAGTAAATATTTAAGTATTTTATTGTAGTACTCAATAATAAATATAATAATGTATACCATCTTGATTTAATAAGCCAAGCACATTGCATTGCAGAAAAGGTGGAATCGTTGTATGCCAGATATTAAATTTAGTTACTTCCCATGTATAAAAGCTTGAAAACCAGCGAAGATAATCTACAACTATGTGCCCAAAAGTCTATAAAAATACAAATAAATTTAAGGGCAAGAAAATAACGATCATTGTTTGTAATATATAACAAAGATGTATTAAAATTGTTTTATAAATACTGTTTAATTTTTAAATGTCATGAATTTAAAATAATTAATTGGCTCTGGTTTTAAAAAAGAAACCATTTGCTGTGTCAAATCATCAATTAGTAGACTTGAAAATTCACTTCTATTAAAGTAATTTTTGCACATCGGCCATATAGTCCCAGACAAAAACGTTGTCGAATTAACTAAATAATTTAATAATTTTACCTGCTGAATGTAATGATTCCCTCTACTTTCTACAGTTGTATTTGTAGATTTAAGTTAAGTAAAAATGCACTAAAAACTAGTAGGCTGTATTTAATACTTTATTTCTGTTCACAGGTTGCTCCATAAAAACAGTTTTTTTTAAAATTTAACCTACTCAGTCCAAGTACGACAACCAATTGTTATATGGCTATCAAAATATACTGAATTGCTTCCTCTAGCGATTATTTTTATTCTAGTGTTATGTCATTTGTCTTACCTTCGTTACTTCACATGAACTTTACCAATATTTCTTTCATTTAAAAACTGAATATAAAAAATTGAAACTTGAAAAGTTGTATGATCTTACTGTATGAATGTTAATGGTGTAGCTGTTTAAAATGTTTTTAAGCGAAGAATGTTTGACTTAAAGAGTCTCATTTTACTCTACTTGACTTCTTTAATATGTATAATATTATTGTCTTTTAAATCAGACATTTCTTTCAGTTCCAACTCTAAATCTGTACCCCCTCCAACAAATAATAATTTCATCTATTTAATTATGAGACTAAGCTTTTTGTACTTCCTCCCCATCCTAATCATCAACATACATAAATTTACCAGTTGGTTAATTATTTTAACTTAAGACAATAGATATTATGTATAAATAAACCTTTGCGAATGAATGAAGACACATGTCAGAAAGAAGTAGACCTATTATTGTGGACTCATAAGACGATGATAAAAACTGTAATACATCGAATTAGAAGGCAAGTCAAACAATCTTGTAAATTACATGTCTAGGAAAAAAATAAGATAAGATAAACAAATGCCAATGTATTTTACTATTACTATATATTTGTAGAAAATAGACGACCATTGTTATCCAATGAAAAACTGTTCCTCAGTATTTTTTCAGAAAGGACACAAGGAAAAACACACATATACCACGCTCATGCGCACATCTGCACAACAATAATAAAATAGTTATATCGTTCGCCTGAATAATAAGCTTCTCTTGATTTCATCTTCTTTATCATCAATTTTTAAATATATTTCTGAAATGAGCTCCACAATCAGAAATCTAATTAAAGGATACGGGTGTAGGAGGCAGAACATCATTTGATTTGTAAAAGCAGGTTATTCTATTTTTAGAAACCGCGGATGTATACATAGAATATGATTTAATGTCATCTCACTCCCACTTCTAATATTTGCCTCCATTACACATACACTTCCTAGTTAAGTCGTCTCTTTAACATCTCAATAAGTCAGCTGAGTTGATCAGTTTATTTGGCATTAACAACCAACAAATCAAACCATTGTTTAATCAAGGTATTCCTAAAATTTTAGGGGGAAAATCAAGAAATATCAACAATACAATATTTAAAAAAAAATAATAATAAAAAGTGTTCCTAAGTAAACACATATTATGTTACTCTGATGGCAATGCTTCTTAGTTTATTCTTAACACGTTTGCAGAGAGATAATTATTTTCTAAATTGCATTAAATGATATTTCGCACGTTATTTTTAGTCCAAAAACTTCCTGCTATTAGTGTTATACGATTTGAATGAATGCTTACGTGTGTTCCTACTAGATATGAGTATGTAATTATTAATACAATTGCGGTACTATTATCAATTTCAGTCTGAATCATTTTGAAAATACTCTCAGATAAATCGAATTGATGTGCCACATGAAATGTAACAATAGATTTTTAAAAAATATTTTTATAGTGATCATCTTTTTCCTCTAGATAACATGGACCAACATTATTTACTCTTTTCCCATATACGTACTTTCAGATATAATTTGTTTTTAAATTATCGTATTTTTTTACATTTCTCTTGATGTCCAAATATTTGCCAGCTTCATGTAATACTCAGGCCATTTATCCTCTACAGATACAGTGGTTAGAAGGTAAATGAAATGAAAATAACGAGATCTAAGGTGAGGCCCCTAGCAGGGGAGGGCGGGGAAAGATGGGTTGAGTACACCCCCGCATGTTGACCCGGTAGTCTATCTCAGGTCACATGACTGTAGAGTTCACCTGTTATAGCAAGAATTAAATGATCTTGTCAGAAAATAAAATCACCTCACCTGAAGTACAATGACGGTACGCACGATACCACAGAACGCTGGTTAAATGTTCTTACAACTTTCTCAAACTGCTTTAACGAATGTGCCTATATCAAATGTCCTCACAAATTTCTGAAAATGTTTTGACGAATGTGCCTATATCAAATGTCCTCACAAATTTCTCACACCGTTGTCCCTAGTGTGTCTCTTGAAATCTCCTCACATCCGTGTGTGGGGACGTCTGATCTGTCGTCTGCCACTGTGTCGTCTGCATGTGTCCATGTCACTTGGTTCAGTCGATGAAACAGTCGCTCGATTCTCCCTCGCCCCCCCCCCCCCCAACCGCCGTGTTTGAGCGAGGGCAGGGGTGATTCAGCACAGGTGTGTGTGTGTGTGTGGAGGGGGGCGCTCCTTGGCACTACTTTCACATCCTCGCTGATTAAACAAACGGAACTTTTTAATGCGTTCATTAAACCGTGTCAACCATTAGAAATTCGCCGTCTAAAACATCTCCCCCCCCTCTTTATTTGAAGTTATAGTAGACAAATAAGATGTGCTTGCATAGAACGTCTTCAGGAGAGGCGAACTGTCGACCCCATCGTTACATGATATGTAGTTTTAGACAAATAAGAAAATCTTGCATAGAACATCTTCAGTGAATTAGCTGTACATCTTATAACTAGAGGCGAACTGTCGAACCCATCGTCCATGATGTTTAGTTTTAGACGCGGACTCTATTTTGATACCTTTAAATGTTATCCACCATTTTCTTTCTCCTTTATTCTTCATCTCCCATTTCTATCTCATTTTCTTTTCCAAACGACAAAAAGCCCCCCTCCCTCTTTCACGTGTCGTGGTCTATCTGATAGGTAGATCTTGTTAACAGTAGGGGAGGGGGTGTGTGATGGTTTGTATAGGAAAAATAATCTCCAAATAACTTTTTTTATTTTTAGCAAATCTTAAATGGTTTCCATTGTATTAGTTGAATTGTATTCATTTTTGTCAAAATTAGATTAAATCAAGGGCCATGACTGATAAAATAAAAACAAAAGCTCACGTGTGATGAAACAAGGAACAAGTTCACCTGTATTGATGGGGTGGGAGAGAAGGGGGGCCTCAGTGAAAAAGGGAATTTTGCAGGTTCATTCCAAAAACAAACCAAGCCTTCAAGTTATTTTTAAATCTCATTGGTCGGTTTATTTTGTCGCCAGACCGGAAGAGTGTCGTTTGTTTGCGGAGTTAAAAATAACAGCAGTCCTAGATCAATTAAAGGGCGACACGGCCAGGAACACAGTGAGTTGCAGTTCTTTGAAAAACTTTTTTTTCAGAGGTTAAAATATCACGAGTCAAGGAATGTAAATTTTGCCCAGCTCTGTTTAGAAGTTAAATTATTTTTTCTGGTTCAAATAAAAAAATGTCAAAATCACTTTATAAAACATTTGTTGAATTTAAAGAAACAAGTTAATTAAAAAGTCTAGTGACAATTTTAGCGCAATTTCCTTATGTTATCTAAAAAT